TCGACCTTGTATCAGTAAATCATTATCTCTCAAAATTTATCATAATCTAAAAAATATTTACTGGCTTTAAATTACCTGCAAAGGGTTGATATGCATTAAAAATCTATCAATCTAATGTATTTCCCTTGAAAACTGCAATCAATGTGCTTAGATTTGATTTGACCTGCGCTTATTATTTCATGTTTTTATTTTTTTCATGGATTTCATATTCAGAGTGTTGGGTAGGAAGTAGTCATTAACAATATTAGTGTGAGGAAAACTAAAGAAAAAATGCTGACATAAGAAACTACACCCTCCTATACATAATCATCAAATGACTTATGAACAGAATAAAAAAGAAAGAAAAAGAAAACAGTAAAACTAATTACTCCAATGCACATTATAACACAACTTTTTTTACAGAGGGACGCACTTCTCTGAATCGGTTCCTAGGAATTTTCTCAAACGTATCATCAATTTTTGGGTGAGTTTCTGGATATTTCTATCTATATTTTTACTCTTATTTTTGTCTCACACGAACTGAAAACATTCCTATTAATATCACTAAGTTTCTTTATTTCATAGTGATTTTTATGTTATGTTACATCGACTGTATTAATGATGTCAAATGCAAGAATATGTTCTCTCAATTCAACTTTATGTTTCACGTTTATGGGGAGATGGCCACTATTTTGTTTTCATTGTTTATTCATTGGAACTAATTTAAGTTGAAAAAATTATATCCCAAGTCTAGGAATGTCCACGTTTTCGCTAAAACTGACGTACCCTGATGTAAAAGGCCCTAAACTTAATAAAAACAATGCCTTATCGCGAAAAGGGTTTTGTTATTAATAAGAAGAGAGACCAAATCATTTTTTAATTATTTCTAAAAAAAAATTTATTCCTTTTTAGCACGTTTGAACTTCTAGTTGAAAAACTTGTTTTAAAATTTTTTTTTTTTAGCTCAGATATCGACGCAATATTTAGCATTAGGATTTTTTAGTACCCTTTTCAGTTGAAAACAGATCAATGTGGAAATTCTTGTAAAAATCAAATACTTGTCGGATTTTAATGAAACCTTCAGAACTTATTGAAAAAAATGAATTAATTTATTTTAGATGTTTTTTTTAGAAAGTTATGATGAATCAAATATTTGTCGGATTTTAATGAAACTTTCAGAACTTATTAAAACATGAATAAATTTATTTTAGAAATGCTTTTTAGAAAGTCATGGTAAAAATACATTTTTTTTACATCTTGTGGCCACTATTTTTGTTTCATTGTTTATTCAATTTAAGTTTAAAAAATGATATCCCAAGTCTAGGTATATCCACTTTTTCGCTAAAACTGGCATACCCTGATGAAAAAGGCCCCAAACTTAATAAAAAAATAGTCTTATTGCGAAAAAGTTTGTTAAGAAGAGAAACCAAAGTATTTTTTTAATTAGTTTTAATATTTTTTATCCCTTTTTAGCACGTTTGAAATTTTGGTTGAAAACCTTGTTTTTTATTTTATTTTTTTTAGCTCGGATATCGATGTAATATTTAGCATTAAGTTTTTTTTAGCACCTCTTTCAGTTGGAAACACATTAATGTGGAAATTCTTGCAAAAATTAAATACTTGTCAGATTTTAATGAAACTTTCAGAACTTATTAAAACATGAATGAATTTATTTTAGAAATGATTTTTTAGAAAGTCATGGCAAAAATATATTTTTTTTCATCTGTTAACCCCCGCCCCCTTACTTAATTTTATGAAAAATTTAAAACTCGAAACTGAGTGTCTGTATTTTTTGATTAAATTCAGAAACGTTGAAGAATATGCATCATAGATTTTTTTGTAAAGAAAATGAATGAAATTACTCAAACTTTAGTCCTTAATTGTAAAATACAAAACTCAATAAAACTAAGACATTATTTAATTAATACAACTTTAAATGCGTTTTATGAATAATATCTATGAAGGATATTTTTTTGTCTGAAGCCAAAATTTATTTTCCATGAAAAATGAATTTTTACAAGAATTGTTCCCTTTTTTTTCAATTGTAAATGAAAAATGTGAAAAACTTGATAAAAGTCTTAAATTAAGATTGAAGCTGAATTATTTTAGAAATTCACTTATTATAAATTAGAAAGCTTACTACAATCTGTTACATGGATCTATTTTTGAAATAATTTTGTATTGTGCCAAAAAATGTATTAAAATTGTTACCGAGAAAACGATGGAAGAACATTTCTGTAAAAATGTCACGTGTGAATGACCATTAACATCGCATTTTAAAAATTTTTCTTAAAGAAATAAAATCTCATTTCATAAATGAGTTACCTGTTTCATTTATGAAATGTGATGGTATTTTATTTAATTTTTATATTGTCTCAACTAGGAAAAATATTTATAACTGAGACAATATAAAACTTAATTAAAAAAAAAAAAACTAACATAAAATTTTGTAATATGTGTACGCAAAAATTACGTTACTCTTTTTTTGTCTGTTATAAAATTTGAATTCTAAATGTATTTTTTCGTAGTTTAAATGTTATTTTTATTCAGAATTCTCCCTCAAACCCAAGGTAAAAATAATTTGAAAGAGTTTTTTTAACTCAACTAACCAGGTTCACTTAAAATTAGCACAAGTTTTCTCACTTCCCTCCTACCATTTTTAGCACCTTTTTCAGTTGGAAACACATTAATGTGGAAATTCTTGCAAATGTTGTCGGATTTTAATCAAACTTTCAGAACTTATTAAAACATGAATGAATTTATTTTAGAAATGTTTTTTTAGAAAGTCATGGCAAAAATATTTTTTTTACATCTGTTAACACCCTCTTACTTAATTTTATGAAAAATTGAAAACTCGAAACTGAGTGTCTGTATTTTTTAAATTAAATTCAGAAACGTTGAATACATAAATCAACGATTTTTTTTGTAAAGAATTATATAAAAATACTCGAATTTTACCTCTGAATTGTAAAGTTCAAAACTCAATAAAACTAAGACATTATCTAATTAAAACAACTTTAAATGGGTTTTATGAATGATATATATTAAGGATATTTTTGTCTGAAGTCAAAACTTATTTTTGATGAAAAATGAATTTTTACAAGAGTTGTTTTCTTTTTTTAATTTTAAATGAAAAATGTGAAAAACTTGATAAAATTTTAAAATTAAGTTTGAAACTGAATTATTCTGGAAATTCTCTTATTAAAAAGTCGATTTTTACAGATCATAAATTAGAAAGCTTACTACGATCTGTTACATGGATCTATTTTTAAAATGATTTTTTATTGTACGAAAAAAAGTATTAAAATCATCTCCGACAAAACTATGGAAGAACATTTCTGAAAAAATGTCACGTATGAGTCACCATTAATGTCGCATTGTTAAAATTTTTGTTAAAGAAATAAAATCTCATTTCATAAATGAGTTACCTGTTTCATTTATGAAATGTGATGGTATTTTATTTAATTTTTATATTGTCTCAACTAGGAAAAATATTTATAACTGAGACAATATAAAACTTAATTAAAAAAAAAAAACTAACATAAAATTTTGTAATATGTGTACGCAAAAATTACGTTACTCTTTTTTTGTCTGTTATAAAATTTGAATTCTAAATGTATTTTTTCGTAGTTTAAATGTTATTTTTATTCCAGAATTCTCCCTCACATGCAAGGTAAAAAATAATTTGAAAGAGTTTTTTTTATTTAACTCAACTAACCAGGTTCACTTAAAATTAGCACAAGTTTTCTCACTTCTCTCCTACCATCCTATAAATTCCCTTGACGTAAGTTGTCAATACATTGATGTACGTCAATTCATACCTCCCAAAAGCAATAATCACGGTTGGACATATCTCTCTTAAAAATTTTTCTACTAAAAAAGTAAGTAATGTTTCTTTCAAATTACATTAAGTATACTTTAAATTTTCTTTTTAAAAAATTTTAATTGAATTTTAGAAGATTTTAAGCGGTGCATTTCACTTTTGTTCATAAAACTATCAATAAAGGCTGACATGATTAAATTTACGTCAAAAAATACAACATATTTAGATAAAATTTTGGACGTGCTAGAAGGGATTCAATTTTTTTTCAAAATACTCAAAAATACTTTGGTCTTAATGACATAAATATGTAGACAATATTTTTTTTAATCAAGACTTTGTTTTTCATCAAGGTATGTTTTTTTAGCGAATTTTTGGACATTTCTACCCAAGCCTAACTTCATGAAAAGACAATGTGAATTTTCTGTCTATATTAATCAGCAATTATAGATTTTGTTTCGATTTTAGAAGCTTCCAGATAGTTTTTATTTTACATCTGTTACCTCAATCCTTGGAACATTTAAATCATCAGTTTGTTTTTGTCGAGTAGTAACACCATTTACCGAAAGTCTGCTCGCAAGACGACTATAACATTATTTAATTAGGAAAGCTTTTAATCGATTTAAAAAATAAGTTATGTTAAGAACTAGCAGTAAAGCCCGGCGTTGCTCGGGGTTTTCTGTAGTTAAATTTCTTTGGGGTTTGAATTATTGAACTCACGCACATATCCGCAGTTGTTGAGGTCACTGATAGGCCGGGAATCTCACTGGTAGCAAAATCAATGAGACCAAGGACAACCGGTTGCAATAGGTGGCTGCTGTGTTGCTGTTCTGTGCTTACCCGAAGACTGCCATCCGTTCATAATCGGTCAAGATTTTTAATTCTGGCAATGTAAAATAGTGGCTGCGTTTTCACTGTAGGACTCGCCCCTTCACTATTAAGTCCATAAGTTTTCCCAGTTTTTAGCGGAATACGCGGGCGTTAATGTTATGTCTGTGAGTGTAATTCTGTCTGGGTAGGAGTTCAAGCATTATCTCACCTCGTTTGGTGTTGCAGATAAACGTTATAAATAAGTTTGGCCTCCCATATTGTCTAACGTATGTCATAGCGTCCTGCGTGCGTTCATACATGTAACGCCCCTCCCACCTCAAGTGTAGGTAGATGGCAGAATGCCCAGCTTCCCTAGGTTGCGGAGATTGACTTAATTTCGAAGGCTGTCGCGTAAGTGTACGTAGGAGTCTGAGCACAGCTGTTTCTGATGATTCCATATAAAACAAAGCCTCTCCAATTCCATCTTAGCGGCCATGTCAACCGCAAACTGGTGGAAAAGCTCCCTGCATCTATGAAGCAGGTTGAAGTCTCCATCCCTAACCATGAAACGGTATGAGTAGAAGGCCTTGCACGATAAGGCTCTGGGAGACGTTGTAGACTGGCCACCCTGAATATGAAGGTGAATGCCGAAGTGGTAGCCATCGTCATAATGGAAAAGCAAAGGGTACTGCAATGCGTCGTATGATCGATGGATCTCTGAAATCCTGCGAAGAGCGACGCCTCTTGATTTGAGGACAATATCTCGAGTGAGGTCTTGTTCCCCATGTATAGTAGCAGCCACTTCGTTGCACGCAGGAGCATTGTAGCAGAGTCCGTGTCCATCATGAGGCCGTTTGTCGACGTCATTTACAATACTGAAGGAAGGAAAGGGAGCATTTTCCAAAGCATATTTGAAACTGTGAATGTAGCTGTTAACCTCGTGAAACATGGCCTGAAGTAGCAGTATGACGTCTCTGCGAGGAACTCTTCCCGACGGCGGCAAATTACCAATTCGGGTTTCGGCCTGTAGGTTATAGTCTGCAATAAAGTACATTTGAAGGAATTTAGGCGTAGAGGTCTCCTCAGGCAGCAGAGACCTAATGCGGTGGTATAACTGCCCCTGTACTTTGAAATTGGGCATCCAACCTTCTTCTCGAACCACCTGAGCCCCAAATGAGGTCATTTGAGAGGAGTTGTATTGCCTAATTATTTTAAGGAAGTGGTTGGAGTCGGGATGGGAGCCGTCTATTAGTCCTCTCAGCGGAGTAGGTGGTTCATGCAGAAGTGGCAGTCGAACTTTGCCGGAGGAGCAGCACAGACTGGTAGGCTTCCCGGCCCACTTGCGGGCGTTGCAGAATTGGAAAAAGCAGGTCATGGCCCTACATTGATGTCGTCACGCGTAGTTAAGTTAATGCCGGGGTCGTAATTAAAAGCCAAGAAAGACCAAAAAGAGCTACTGGGACAGGTAATAATACGGGCGGCCGCAAGGCGCTGAATGTCGCCGTCGAGGCGTATGCGGCGAGCTTGGGGAATTTGAGATAAGTGCACAGCGGCCATGTTTGTAGCAGCCCTTGAAAGTCTGTTTGCCCTTGTATGTGGGCCCTCAGAGTTTCTGGCAGCAGAAGTCGCTACAGCGTTGCGGGTTGCCCGCTGCAGTTCTGTCTCGGACTCCCTCGACCTAGCTGTTGCAGCAGCGTCCCTGGATTGACGGGCGAGCCTGCGGTCAAATGTTTCAGCTGTTCTCGACCTGGCAGTGGTGGCAGCATTCGTAGCATTTCGAACAGACCTACGGAGCAGAGTCTCAGCAGCCCTAATGCTCGTTGCAGCAGCATCCCTGGATTGACGGGAGGGCTTGCGGTTAAGTGTCTCTATTGCCCTTGATTTCGCAGTGGCAGCAGCGTTTCTTACGTTAGGAAGAAGCCTTTGATGATGAATCTCGGAAGCCCGAGATGCAGAGGCGGTTACTGCAGCCTGTGCGTTCATACTCAAACGTTGTTCATTCTTGAACCTTGATCGCAACGAAGTCCTCTCGGCAGCTTTCCTAGCCAAGCAGGTAGCATCCTCCTCTTGTGACTGCAAGGCCTGCGTAAGAGCGCTGCCTTGAGCGACCTGTGATAGTCGCATTGTAGTCTACTCCTGGGACTCGCGGGCCCTTCTTGCCCTCGTAGTGGACGCTCTTGCAGACCGAAGGTTAAGACGTACCCTCCTTTTTGGCGGCATGGGGAAAAGTGATGCTAGTAGTGGTTGATTAGAGTTGCCCAATTGCAGGAGTACAAAGTCTAACTTAGTATCGGAAAACGTGAGCCAGAATCGGGAAGGCAGGTATTTAAGTAAAACAGCTGAATAAATTGTTTATGGTAGTTGGAAAAATGTAGTTAAACAGACAAACGGAAAACAAAAACGTAAGAAACAACTTGCAGCAGGAGAAATGATCAGTTGAAGGAGTCTATCGTATCAACCGGATGACGGCGTAACAGGAGCAGCAGTGAGACCTTCGTCCCACAGCTGTGCACAGCAGGTTCAAATGTGAAGTATTACTGGTCAATCGGTTGTGCCAATCAGCGAGCGTCCTAGGGTGTCGAATACCAATCAGCGACCGCGTACTGCACTCAGCCAATGAGATACCGCGATGTGAAGCATGGTCACGCGTGTGTGAATAACAATCAGCTGTAGAGTCTGTAGTGTAGACATCTCAGTTAAACATACGTTTGATTGGTGTATTCGCAAATTTCGATGAAGACATGATTATGTCGACTACCCTCAGGTATTAGTTGGTCACAAAGGAGCTCACAGAGCAAAAGTTTTTAATTGTCACGACTAAAGCCGATAAAGTTAATCAAAATCCCAAGCAAGTTGCGAAAAGCATCGCCAAATTCAGGTAAACTCGATTTGAATCGGAAGTCAAAAGGGGTACGATTTCATCGATTTTTATCCGATAATTGAAACCAATATTGAAAACGAGTCAGCACATCAATACTATCGGTAAATACTATGTTCAACGGGAATTTTGCTGAAAATTCTTCGCCATTTGCGAAAAATATAGCCAAAAATTAGCTAGACTTGACTTGAATCGGATATTCCAAAGTGATCGATTGTATCGATTTTTTCCAGTAATTAATATCGATATAGAAAATGAATGTCAGCACCTCATAACTGTTGATAAAAACAATGCTCAACGTAATTTTGGTGGAAATTCTTCGCCATTTGCGAAAAATATAGCCAAAATTCAGCTTGACTGAATTTGAATTGGAAGTCAAAAGTGGCATGATGTTATCGATTTTTTTCCGATAATTGATACCGATATTGAAGAAAAAGGTCAGCAACTAATAACTGTTGAAAAAACTAATGCTCAACATGATTTTCGTGAAAATTCCTTGCAGTTTGCGAAAAGCAGAGCCCAAAATCAGCTACATTGGATTTGAATTGGATGTCCCAAAGTGATCGATTTTATCGATTTTTTCGATAATTAATATCAATTTTTAAATTCAAGAACAACACCTCAAAACTATGAGTAATGACATTGCTTAACGTGAGTTTGGTGGATATCACTTGTAATTTGTGAAAACTATCACTGAAAAACTGATGAATTTATTTTTGAATCAATATTCGACACCCTATCGGTTTTATCGATTTTTTCTAAAATCGGAGGAACAATCGAAAAATCCAAAGATGTCAAGTACGAATGCTTTAAATTTCCGATCTGTGTGTGAGTTTTCATGCCAATCGGACGAACGGTTTGCTCAGGATGAGGTAACAAGTTGACAGACACACAGACGCACAGACACACTAACAGAATGCCATTTATAGATACTGAAGAAAAAAAAATTCGATGAAGAAGTAATTTTTACAAACGTTGTTTTCAGTTATAAAAAAATTTAATTAGAAAAATGTATTAAGTTTGAAATCTTTTAAAATTCTTTATTAATTTCATTCACTTAGATTATATTATTATTAAGCGAAAAGTATATTTACTAATTATAAATGGTATAGCTTAATACCAGTGATCGAATACAAAGATTTTTAATTTTTTATGTATATAAACGTGCCCATATTTAAAAGTATGGTTGACCAAACACGACATAATCAGAAAATAAGAGTGATGACTATAGTAAATTTAAAATCAACATTGCTAAAATTAGATTGCGGAGAATATTTCCCAACATTTTAATGATTAGCAAGTACTTAAAAATTATATAAAAAAACGCTCTGTCATTATCTTAAATTATGTTTTAGACATAAAGTCTCCGTAGAACAACAATAAATCCATCATCACCTTTTCGTCACCTGTCGACACGAGTCAAACACGTAAACACGGCTACTGTCCGTTACAAACACAGCTGCTCTTTGTATTAAAAATACCTTAAATTAGCTCATATTTCTCAAATAGATTGACAGAAACGTATATTTTAATATTGGAAGGTGTTTTTTTAAATAAAGAGTATTACATTGCAATGAAATAAGGGACGCTAATCAGCTATTTTAGCAAAAGAAAAATCGATTTCAATCAATATAATTTCTGTTTTTACATAAATCAGCCTATTTTGCTTACTGAAAATAATAAACTCACTCCTTTAGGTTTCAATTAAAATTAAAAAGAAAGTTTCAAGAAATATTTTCATTTTCAAAAAAAAAAATCATTTAAAACTTATGTATCACAAATTAGTGGATGCTCAACGAAAATTGTGCAGAAATAGAAAGAATAAGTTAAGCATTCCATACAGAGATACAGGAGTTATGCCTGAAAATTAAAAGAACAGGGCAAAAATCATGCTTATCAACAGGCTGTATAAAATGCAAGGATGGATCGGTAATATTAGAGAAATCAAGCATACCTTAGATATTGGGAAACTATTCCATGGCGCTTTAGAACAAGCGACAATACACAGAAATACCGACGGACTGGAGGTATTAAAAACCGAAATGGAAGCCGAACTGGTCAAACTGAACAGAAACAAAGTAACAGGGCCAGACAGAATTTTGATGCTGTTAGCCTTAAATGATTTCGGCATAGACAATATATTTTTCTTATATATTTTACTGTGACGTGGCTGTCTCAGGGTTGATCCGTTGGTCACGGCACCACATGTGACGTGGTTGTCTCAGGGTTGATCCTGGTCACGGCACCACATGTGACGGTTACACACCTGGCCCAGGGTCGAATCCCTTGGTTACGGCGCCAACTGTGACGTCGCTCCTCCTGGTCGCTCCTCCTGGTTCCAAGCGTGCCGCTCCAACCCCTTGGTTGGATGATCACCAGCCTCGCCTTTCCCAACTCGCTTCCAATACCTGGTTACTGAAACAACTGTACTGATCTCCGGTCTGTCTACCCACGCTGTGTTTAGATCTTAGACAGACGGGATCAGCAGGGATTGGGGCCGATACAAGTTGAGTCCGACGGGGGTGGCAAAACACAAGTAAAAGAAAAAAAAAACTCACGAGACAAAAATTACTGATAAAAAGGGTGACAACCTTTTATATCTAATGTCCGTTACATAAAGAAAAATTGTTCTTATTTCCCGACCCGCTTTGTGGACTATGGCACCAAGCCTCTATCATAAAACTTAAAAGATTTCTGAGTTGTCTACTCTTCAGAATTATGTATGTCGGAGTGTGGTCTAGTTCGACACTGGGGCTAATTTCTATCGATCATTCGCAGTTGATTCTTCTCTTCGACTTGAGTTGTATTTCTTCTTCTTCGTCGACTAAGATAGAACTTCTCTTGTCTTCGACTTGGCTGCAACTTCTCTTGTCTTCGACTTGGCTGCAACTTCTCTGCGGCTCTCGAGTAATCTTCTTCTTCGTCTGCTTGGGCTGGAAGTTCTCTTGTCTTCGACTTGGGTGCAACTTCTCTGCGGCTTTTCGGGTAATCTTCTTCTTCGTCTGCTTGGGCTGGAAGTTCTCTTGTCTTCGACTTGGGCTGGAAGGATTTCTTGTCTAAGGATTCTTTTGCCCGCAAAGGGGCGAGTGAATCGGGCCCGATGCCCGCGTTCAGGCTCTTTCCCTGCCCGCGGTCCAGCTGCAACTCCACTCCAACTGATTTCTGTCGACTGGGGTCCTGCCCCCACTGACGCCGCAACAAACTGGGGTGGGTCTGTCGGCGTCAGGGCTTTCTCGATAATTTCAAAAGTCGCATTATTTCTGTCTTCTCATTATCGCTATTATTTTCACCCCTACTTCCTCATAGTGCCTTTGGTGGGGAGGCGCGTATGTCAGGTGACAGCTTTCGACCAATGGTTCCTGATCGAGCATTTCTTTCTTTTAATTTTCCGCAGCCACGTGACCGTTTTCGGCTAATGAGACTCTGGTTGGGCGTTTTCCTGCAATCAATCGGGGCGGGCTTATATCGTTCTTGTTCTAAAAAACAAAATCTAATTTGGCCTTTTTCGCACGTACGAAAATGATAATCTTGGCTTTTTCTCACCTGGGTTTTGTCAACACAGCCTGCCGCTAATTAGATGTGACTTCAGGGAAGAATATTGGCGCTATCTGAAACTGAGACAATCGTCCCTTCACCTCCCGTCTTTGTCAGACCCGACAGTCAGAAAATCTTAATTATCTACATTGAAAATGTTCCCACTTTATTATCGTAGGTTTCCAATTCTTAATAGGTCAGGATCTGTATATAGTTCCACCGGTCACTCCCTCAACCCAAAAACACTTTTTTCTCTGATTAAGATTTCGTTCTCATTGTTCTTAAAATTTCCCTTTACTCCAAATTGATAATGAGTCTTTCTACGCAAAAAAGTAGGTCAGATGTTTTGACCGATATCTGGTTTTCATCAAGCGGCCCGTTTTGATATCATGTCTTTTCCTTTCTTTCTTCTTATTATTTCTAATTCTATTCTTCCAATTGTCTTTAAAAAATTCGGCCACACGCAGGCCAAGATATTTTCTGACTCCTATCTCCACCATTGACTGGGACATGCATCATCCAACTCTCTTTCTTTTTTTTTTTTTCTTCCTCTTTCTTCTCTTTTCTTTTCTTTCCTCTTCTTCCCTTTAGGATCGTCTAAGTACAATCTTAGTGAATTATTTTCAACTCAATTATTTTCCGTTTTAAAAAAATCAACAACCTGTTTAGTAAACCGAATAAGAAAAAATTAAATCATATTTCTATGAATATT